ACGGATTTTCTTAATTTGAGTTGACCCAATTGTGAAACACAACTCGATCGAGTCGTCTTTTTCTCAATTACTTCCTGGGACTCGCGTGTTCGCTTGTATTGGCAAACCCAGAATCGTTTGGTTTCCCGCGCCTACTACCACTTCACGGTGTCTATTTCGACAACCGGTCGGTTATCAAAGCAGTGCAAATAAAAATCGATCAGTAATCACAATAGCCATTGCTACGGAATCGATGGAATGATGATGACGATGAAAACGAAGACGACAAATGCGTGATGACTACAGCTCACCTTTTGAGATCGCAGCAGTGTCAGCGCCACTTCAATGTGACGTGCTTGGATGCCAATAGCGCGCGGGTTGAGAATGACAATGTAGTCACATGATTGAGAGAGAGCAGCCCTCAGTGAGACCTCAAAGAGGCGCATGAACTTGCGGCCCTGAAATTGCAGGTGAGGAAAGGGAATGGTTTAGATGCAGTGCACATACGTTGTAACGCAAGTTAGAGTAAAGTCTTTTGAAAAACACAAAGACAATGAGGTTCACAGAATTTAATGACGTTATACAATTTCGTGATCTCTTATTCAACTGCATGCGACCATTGCCTGTTAATAAGATAAAACAAATTGTCAAATTAAGTATCGACCTAGAAGGTTGAAATTTGGTAGGTAAATAGTGCAGGAGCTGTTGGTCTTAGATGCGGATGCGCATAGTGAGGGGGATGCAGTTATTGAAGCAAGACAGGTCAGGTTACGGTGAAGGCCTGTCAAGCGTGATTAAAGGGGGGAGGGGGGCAGAGTGCAGAGCAGCACTCGTTGAAGGACGTTCACCGACAGCTTACGGAACTAACTTGTCCCGCTCCGCCTTTGCCTTGGGCCTCATTCCTCGGGCCCTGATAGTAGCCGTGGCAGCAAATAATATAGGCAGATAGTATTGTCGGCCAAGGCAAGAAAAATGAGGCCCAAGGCAAAGGCGAAACGTAAAAAGTGAACGTGAACGTTCGACCTAACCCGGCAACACAACGAGCTCGTGGCTCAATGGTTAGGGCGTTAGACTCTGATCAAAAGGTTGCGAGTTCGACGCTCGAGTGGTGCACCGCTTGAGTCTGCATATGACTGACTGACGACGGCTGATAAGCAAGAAATGGCCATTCCAGTCTCCCTTGTCTTTGCCGGCAATACTATCTGCAGAGCAGCAGTCGGTCATACGAAGAAAAGAGGGCAGAAGTAGAGTTAGCAAATAGACAGGTTTTACTTTACAGTAGCGTAGAGGACTTTTCACTTTAATGCTAAAGTGGAGACTAAGTACGAAAATGAGCCCTTTCGATTAGTAAACCGTCGTCAGTAAGCCAGACAGGGAATTAAACTGTTGACATTCATCGAGATTTGGGTAGGCAATTGAAAGCTTGGGCCAAGGCAAATTGTCTGCCGACTAAACACAGTTTTTTGTTATAACAGTCTCTGACAGCATGAGGGACCAAAGCTTCACATTTAATAACATAAGAAAAGATGCAATGCCGCTTAAAATATCAGCCAAACAATCAAAGTAAGTCGTTTTAATCGCGAAATGAACCGACAGTTCGACCATCGATATCGACAATGTCCACCGTATGCTCCACAACAGAGTGGTGTGGGGACGGTGACTAGCACCTGAGTTAGTTTTAAGTGATATTAGATTTGCCCTGCATCTACCGTACTCTCTCCGTCCTCACTCAGCTGAGTCCGGTGCCATAACACGGTCAAGAACACCGGAGAAGGGATCGGACGCAGGTGGCTGGCGCGGCTGAAGCGGCCCCTATGAGTACCAGCAGCCCCCATCCCATGTTCGAAATTTGTTACCGGCGCACAACCCAAATAACGCCGGCTCTACCCTGACCTGGCCGTCGTCTTCGTCCGGCGCGTCTACCTCGCGGCCCGTTCAGGGGGCACCGCAAAATTAACCACACAGAGCCCATC